AGAATTATCAGATGTAAAAGGAGACCAAACGAGATGGAACCCACTAAAGAAAAAAAAGATAAAGACGAAGAGAAACAAAGAAAAAAAGAAGAAAAAGAAAAGAAAAAACTTGAAAAAGAGCAAGAGAAATTAAAAAAGAAAGAAGAGAAAGAAAAGAAAAAGAAAAAAGAAAGCAAAACGAAAGAAGAAAAGTATGCACCTAAAAAAGATAGGTCAAAACGAAGGACATTATTTTTCTTTAAGAAAAAAGATAAAAAAGAATTACCAAAAAGTTTAACACCAGAATTACCTAAAATTGCTAAAGAAATACCATCTAATGGTTTAAGTCAACCAACTGAAGAAAGTGTTAGACCAAAAGAAATATCAAAACAAATTAATGAATTACAAAATGATGTCTCGAGGAATAGTGCATCTGAAGAAATTCATTTATTACCAAAACATGTATTAGAAAATGTTTTAATGGTATCTACTCAAATTGAAAAAAGGTTTAATTTTTCTGAATACCAAGAAGAGATTGACTCATTTAGAATGTTAAATCTTAATCAAATAGCATATGTTGGACGTGACTTATATTTATCTTCTTTAATCGATGTACTTCATTTATTGCCTTTAATTTATGATAAAGAATATGCCAGACAATTATTGTTTTATTCTCATGAATTTGATCCAGAAGAAATATTAACTGATTTAGTCTCTTGTTTTGCTAATTCATTTGATTCAACAAAACCACAACGTGAAAAATATTGTACAAATTGTGTTAAAATTGTTTCTTCTTGGTTAACAACAAGAGGAGATACTTTTACTAATGAAAAATTATTACTTCTTGTTAGAGATTTTGTTGAAGTTTTAAAACAACTTGTTACTACAAATGGATTCTTACAATCTGCTGTTGATGAAGTAGATAGTAATTTAGAAAAGGTATTTGTTTCTAAAGGAGTTGTTTCTATTCAAAAACGAGTGTTAAATCAAGTAAAAGTTGTTGGTCAAGATGGAGATATAACATTCCCAGAAATTACAATTTTAGATGAAAAGTGTTTAGATTTAATTCCCGAACAACTTGCTATTATAGAATTTATGTTTTTATCAAGAATTAATCCTTATGATTATTATTGTTATTTAGATAAACAAACAAGAGAATCATCAACAGTAAAAAGTTATATTTATTGGCATAATTTAATATCTCAATGGGTTGCTTATGAGATATGTAGACACGAAGATATTGAAAAACGATATGAATGTATCACAACGTTCTTCCAATTATTAATAAAACTTATTCAAAAGAAGAATTTTAATTCATTTGTAAGTGTAATGAATGGGTTAAAACATCAAACAGTTAAAAGGTTAATGCATACTTGGAATAAATTAACTAAAAATGATTGGACCGTTTATCAAGATTTAGAAAGTGTTCAACAAAGTATTAGAACCAATAATTCATCTATCACTTTACAACCTCCTTGTGTCCCTGATTTTATGCAACAAATTGAAAGAATGCAAAAGATGTATGATAAAAAGAAAAGAGAAAAAAATATTTCTTCCACTAACTTAACTGAAAACAATGAACCAGAATATATGATTGATCTTTCAAAATATGCCAGAATAGGTGCAGTGATCGACGTCCTAGGAACATATTCTGTTGGTTCAAATTATAAAGAAAATAAACAAATGCATGAATTTTTCAAATCAGCTTTACAAAAATTACCATTAGATGATTTCAGTCTTTTAGATCTTTCCTTAAAAGTTGAACCTCCTCAGTAATAATCATTTTCTCAGATTGTTTCGTTAACTCATATAATTCATAGTAAAATAATGGTAAAATTTTAATTCAATGTAGTTCTTTTTTTTGTTCTTTTATTCTGCAAATTATTTATTCGTTATTTAAAATAATTCTTTTATTTCATGTAATCTTTTATTTACTTTATCATTTTTCTATCTCGAATTCAAGAATCTTAGAAATAAAATCTTTCGTAGAACAGAACAGATTGAAAAAAGTGAATTAACCACTTATCAGTATAAAGAAAATTAATCACTGTCACATGTGATAACTGACCTTTCTTGTTGTATTATTTTTCTATTTCATCTATAGCTTTATGTTTGTCTTTTATTTATATCTATTATTTAGTCAGAAATATTCTTCTATCTTCAAAATATTTTAATAAAAAAAATTATTTATTTTTAATACCACCAAATAAAACTGAAAGATATTAATTAAATTATCATTTGAAATAAATATTAGTTTACAACTAAAGGATATTTATAAATAAAACAACTATTAATAAAGTAAAAAAATAAGAGAATTTCAAATTATTTACTCTAAAAAATATTATTTTATAATAACAAAAAATAATATAAAATAAATACTTTTAATAAAGAATCCAAAATTAAAGCTTCCAATACAATTGTATTGGTGCGTTCCTTTGTCAGTATTGCTTAATAGATCTTAATTGGTGCACCCATAGAACTCTTAATGTAAAGACATTTAATGTTTTGCCATCCTTTCTTAAGAAGTGAAACTAAGAATGAGATTGATCTTTCAATGTTAGCAACTAATTGGTCTTCAGTTAATTTAACATTTCCAACAGCAACACCCATGCACAAGACTTTCTTTAATTGGAATTTAACTTGGCATTGAAGTTCATTAATTTTAACTTTAAGATCTTCATTCTTTCCAAGAAGGGTTGGGAATTTACCAGCCTTGTTAAGTCCTGGACCAAGAATCTTTTGTAATTGTCTCAAAACAGAA